GTTCCTGGCATTCGGAAAACGAAGAGTGGAACAGGCGAGCAGGTGTGCAGGTGAGCGTCATATGAGAGGCCCCGCCTTACATTTTCCGCCACAGATTTGGGGCAATTGGGCCGTGCGCAAAGCATTGTGGGGATTTTAAGGACGCGAAGTCTACCCATGTGTAATCTTGAAATTTCCCCCAAACCAAGGACGCGGCCTCGGTGGAATTCCAAGTATGCTGGAGATTGGAACAGTCCTTCGGCGGCACTCGATGACGTAGCATCCTTGAAATATTGGCTGGGAAGCCAGTTTCCTCGAGATTGAGAAACGGCCCCAGTCTCCTGCTGTGAATGGCGTCTGGCTGATACACAGTCCTGATGCCACAGGTGCTCCGCCAGGCAGTTGAGGAGAGAGGCCACATTCCCCCAGTCCGTCACTGACCCACAGTTTGTGTTCATGCCCTTTTAAAAACACCCATTTTCATTTTGTAATCTGTTAAGATATTGTCATGTCGGTGCATCATATATCAAGGATGGATTTGAATGCCTTTATTTGGGTCATATACAAACAATGTTGAGGCAGATTGAATTATTTACTATTATCTTGTGTGAAATTTTAAATTGCAAATAAAATGGAAATAGTATTTGTACACTGTGTGGATTTATTTTTTATTTCTGCATTTTTATAATTAAGTCATACAAAACCACTAATCGAATCAATGTACTCAACTCTGTCAACTTTAATACAACAGGAGACAAATGGGGAATGCAGTTTGTGCACCAAAACTGTGGAAAGACTATCTAGATGTTTTTTTTAGCTCTCAAACAATTATCTGTTTTTCCCCCCAGCTCTGAGAAGCCTTAATTTCCTTTGTACAATGCATTGTGGAAAAATTGTGCTTCAGGAATGCATAGGCCAACTGATTTCTTTAAAATACTTTTTTTAATGTGTTTTCCTATTTGGAAAAATGACTTAGCTAAATGAATAACCCATCTTACGAAATATGATAGATATCAGTTAATAATTTATTCCTGAATTGATCAATGAAAAAACTTAAGAATCTCAATTTCCCAATTCGCTGATGTTGAACAATTGCTAGATTTGTTCAGAAAACTGTCTGAAACTGAAAAAAAGGACAAGCATTCAACCACTTATTCAGATTTGAACTAGTTTGTATTGAACTGGGACACAGCTAGAGATCAGTGATGATGTGTTTTAAACAGCGATAGAGGAAGCAGAATCACAATTCCTTTATTAATCCCAAAGAGGAAATGTGCAGTTTGTTTTATACAAACAAGACCCCTACTGACATTAACATAACCACACACATTATACATTACATGTAGAATAAAAGTATTACTGAAAAATAATTAAAATACTATAATAAAAAAATAAAATGATACTTAAATACTAAAATAACGTAAGTCAAAAAATATTACAATTAAATAAAAAAGTTATTAAAATTATAAAATACAATCATAATCAAGAAAAGCGACTGCAGTGCATTTTTTTTTACATTATGAATTGGCCAAAGGATATTTATTTCATTTCCTATGGAGAGTGTTGCTAGGAGGGAATTTCTATATTCATAAATAATATTCATAAACTCAGAAAGGGTAAACAACAACTAATTATATAGTCATTAACTACATCATTACATTTAGCTGACGCTTTTATAAATACAAAACAAGTTAAAAGACGTTTTGATTGCTGCAGAGTATTCACAAGAGGCGTTCAAAACTATCGGATACATGATGGCGTATACAAACACAAGCGTCACTTTATAGATTTAGGAGGCGAATAAAAAAGCTGCATACATTTGTCGCTTTTTCTTTCTAAATTTAAAACAAGGTCATTTAAAACGTAATGTGTTTACCAAGACGCATATGTCATGAGGTTTATCACATTTAATACTATAGTGGTTGAAATCACAAGCTTGCAAAGAGCATTTGAAGGCAGCATTATGCGGAAGGAACGTTGTCACGGCGCCATATTTGATACACCAGACGCTAGCTGTTAGCATTAGCTGTTTACAAACTTTCACCTGAGAGACGGAAACCCAAAGCAAGCCTTAAACTACATTAAAGATGAATGTTATAGATAATATCCGGGAAATGGCCGCAGCTGGCCTTCACTCTAACGTCCGGATATTGAGCAGTTTGCTGTTGACGATGAGTAATAACAACCCGTAAGTAAAAGCCAGCGTGAGGATCCGTCTATTTCCTGGAGACAGTGATAGCGAAAAGCTAACTGATCAACTATTGATATCATTTATTTGTTTAGTAGTTGATCAGATCAGGGTTTTGAATAATGCACTCTGACACCTGCTAGAAATGCTTCTCAAGTAACCACATCTTTAACAGTGAAATGTGTATTATTGGGTGTAATATAGTGTACGTTTTTTTATCCAGGAAGTAGTCATATCAAGGTACGTGCTATTAACAGTTAGCTGGAAGGAGTTGACAACTGTTTAACGAGTATTGTATGACTTTTCACATATATATGGTTGTTAAATAGCCTTTTTCCCCTTTCACATGTTGACAATGCAGTGGGGTTGAGTTAAAATCAGGGGCTATCAAAGTCACAGAGCCATGTTTTTGTTGTGATGAAGCCCAACAGCTGATGAAGGATGCTTCTATAAAAACACAAACTAACACTATTGTTTGTTTACTTTCTACACTAATGTATCATCTCACTGTCCACTTTTTGTTACGGTCTCTTCTATATTTATGTCACTCAATGACAGTCTTTTTCTCTAAGCATTTCTACTAACACATTGAGACATGTTTTAATGTTAATTCTCTGATTCTCTTGCATTCCAACTCTAATATTGTGATACTTTTCCTGCTTTTTAAACGCAAAATCATAAATCAATTTTTCAATTATTGACACTATTGTTATATCTTGAAGTATACACAGTATTACACATTAATTTTTTCCATATTTATTGTTGTGATTGATTGCTGTTTCATTGTAGTAAATGCACCCATTTATGTGTTGCTTTTAATCGAGGAAATTATTTAAATCGTCTTATAACTTCTCTGTTTTCTGTATATTTGACTCTAAGATGGAGCAGCTAACATAACCCTCTTCACCCATGCAATCAAAAGTGTTTCTGATTCTAATTACTTTACCATTTGTGTCTTTTTATCGAAGAGAGCTGCTCTCACCGGCCCAGAAGTACCAGTTGTTGGTTTACCACGCTGACAGCATCTTCCATGATAAGGAGTATCGTAATGCTGCCTGCAAATACAGTATGGCTCTACAGCAGAAGAAGGTGATCAGCAAAACGTCTAAAGTTCGTACTTCTACTGGTGGAGCTGCTTCTAATTTACAGGCACAGGTATGTCGGATAGCACTGTTCATTGTTCAATGTTTTGAATGAAGCCATAACATCATTCAATGTGTTCAACCGGATTTCCCACACATCAATTGCATGTATATTCCTATCACTCAATGTTTTGTACCTTGAAAGACAAATACCCATACCATCGACTAGTTCAGTTTGCATGAATGATTATTAAAATGACTCATAATGTTGTCTTTCAGAGTTTGCCCTCAGAGATTGAAGTAAAGTACAAGATCGCCGAGTGCTACACCATATTGAAACTGGATAAAGATGCTATTGCAGTTCTCGATGGGATCCCATCCAGACAGAGGACCCCAAAGGTTACCCTCCCATAGTTATTGTGATAAACGATATTTTTCATGCTTTCTTTTTTTTTGTGATCAATTTTTTTTTTAGATTAATACACAACATGTGCAACCAAAAGCACAACAATCTTTCTTTAAAAAAAAAAAACTAAAAGTACTTAAGAAAAAGAAAAATTAGACAACAGCAAAATATACAAAATGCAGAATACACAACCCAGTCTCACGGCATTTCGTGTAATAGTCACGAAATAAATGTAATCTATTGATTCGTGTTCACCAACACGATTTCCCCCTTTTTTTCGTGTCACACAGAACGATTTTAGAAGCAATGTATTTCTATTGGTAGTATGTTTNTTTATGTTTCTACCCGGGAGGCCGCAGAGGCGCTGGAACAAGCCCAGGGGGGTCGTGGAGCTCGCTCTGCTGGCGCTACTAGCCCGCAGCATCACTGTGCCCACGCACAGTGATGCTGCGGGCTAGTAGCGCCAGCAGAGCGAGCTCCACGACCCCCCTGGGCTTGTTCCAGCGCCTCTGCGGCCTCCCGGGTAGAAACATAAAAACAATTCATCACAACATTGTTTCAAATATTCGTGTTTGTGCTGAATGGTCTAAAGCTCAGCAGACAGAGGAGTAACGCTAATCTATTTTGAGATTTTATTTCATTTTAATGATGCTTCACAACTTAAACAACAGTTTTATGAGGTATCAAAGGGGAAATCATAATAACGTTTAAAGAATCAATCATACATTGGGCATTTCATAATGTGTCAACATTGGACAACGGAAAAAGAAGAAAATCAATCTACCATACCAACTCTCTAAAAACCAATGAAATGGGTGGCCACCCAAAACATCTGCATGCAAACACACCTCACATATCAGCAGTATCCGGAAAAGTTTTACCAGTTGTCCTGTTTGTCTGGGACATTCTGTAGGACACACAGAGAGAGACAGCATTTCCCTGTTTAAACGTGCTCCCTGATAAGAAGAGACATCTGGGTCAGTATCAAGGTATAAATCAGAGAGACGCTGAGGGGAGGGGGGGGACTCGTAGGACTGGGTGTGAGTCTAGGTGGGCACAGTGATGCTGCGGGCTAGTAGCGCCAGCAGAGCGAGCTCCACGACCCCCTGGGCTTGTTCCAGCGCCTCTGCGGCCTCCCGGGCAGAAAACCCTGCTGCCTGGATCCTCTGGATGTGTTCAGATGGAAATTGTTCTCTTAAAGGATGTGGAGAAGGGACAGGAGGGGCCGGAGATGTCAGCTGGGGGGCAAGAGGAGAGGAGAGGGTTGAGGTGCTTGAGACTTCCTCAGGTGAGCCCACTGCCATGGACAGGGGGCTGAGGAAAGTGTGCTCAGTCTGGAGGCCGAGAGAGTCTGGGGTGTTGGTGCCAGAGGCCCGTCCGTCTGCGACCCCCCTCCCCTGCTGGCCCTCCGGGGGCTCCCTGACCTCCAGGTCCCCTGTGGGGTCAGGAGCATCCTCTGGCTCAGTCTGAAAACTGCTGATGTTATTCACTTCACCTCGCCCACATTTATCTGCCCTCCTCTCTGGACGCTGCAGGGGTTTTTGACCCACCGCAGTCTCCAATGTGTCCCCATTCAGTCGCTCCTCCTGTTCAGAGAGGACAGGCGCGAGACCCTTAGAGGGTCCCTCATCAGACACAGCAGCAGCAGCATGGTGGGCTTTGGCATCGCTTGATTCTGCACCGGCTGGGATGGCAGTAGAGGGGATCCGGGGAGGGTCTTCGGGTGTTTCCTGGGTGAATGGATGTGAGGGGGAGCAGGAGGTGCTGCGGTTCTGGGACTGAGCGCGGTTGTTGGACACCAGCAGCTCGTGGAGCTCCATCAGAGCGGCCGCCAGGGAGGGGATATTGCCGGAGCCGTGCTCTCCTTCGGGCTGGTCCCTCTCGGGGGACGCCACGCCCTGGGAGGCAGGGGGGGACTCCATCTCCACCGAGTCCACCGGTTGGTTAAGAGCACTCGGACGGGGTTCTGGGGCATCAGTGGTGTCACCCCCCGTCGCCTCCTGCTCCATGGGTTGAGTTGGGGAAAGTTCCTCTGCATGGGAGAGCACGGGGCTGCTCATCACCTCATCTGATTCAGACCCCCCCTCCGGACCCTGGGCTGCTGTAGTCATGTCCGCAGGAGGTGAACGGGGGACGTCTGTTGAGGGACAGGGTACTGGGGACACCCTGGGGTTGCTTTGGACAGGCAGAGGGGGAGGGGGGACCTGATGAGATGAAGGACCAGCATCCTCTGCTGAGGACGCCGGCCGAGGAGGATCCTGGGGGACAGGCTGGTCCTGGATCAGCCCTGGTGCTGAGGCCTGCTCCAAGGCAACCGGGGCAGACTGAGAGTGGTCCAGGGTTTGGGGCGGGCCAGAAGAAGGGCTTTGTGAAGTGGAGGGGGATGAGGACCTTTGGTCTAAGGTTCTGGGTAATGTTAATGGTGGGGGGGGCTGCGGTGAGGTAGTTTGTCCATCTGCAGTGTCTATTGTAAGAAAAGATACAACTTGGAATGAAACAGTGAACGAGTCTGGAGGTATTACTTTGGATAATAAGGAAACAACTAAAACAAACATTTCCTTGCTGACATTTCTTAAATACCCGCTAGACGTGTCATGATAACTCATTTTGCTGGACTACATATTATCCCATAATTGCGATTAATATAACTATTATTCTTTAGGAGCATTTAATGCCACTGATATGTTGATAACAGCATACTAATGGGAGTAAATCATTTTAAAGAGCAATATAATTTAATTTCTAATAATATCGTTCAGGATTGGAATGTGAAAAATATATTAAAATATACTCATTCAATAAACCAAAATAAAATAAAATAGACTAAATCAGAATTATTTTCTCAAAAAATGCTTAATGACTGCTGTTTATTCCTATTTATGTTGGTTTCAATGTTGGCGAAATGACTTTTTTTTTTTTTAATCGAGACCATTTTAATTAATGATAAGTCGAAAAAGTAATTATCATGACAGGCCTAACACTCGTTGCATATTAAGTGGTTAACACTTTCTTTTTTTTCCTACTTAATTTTTACAGTTATATGTATCCAGAATAAATACATACAGACATTGAAACAAATGTGCAACATCAATTAACCAATCCAGCAGCAAAATAACGGCAAAATAAAAGACACACATAGCAATGGGCTTAGCCTCGCAATGGACTTGTGAAGTTGCAGTACCTGGTTGGTAGGGCCCTCTCCAGCTGTCTCCAAATGCATCAGTGCTGTCCTGCTCAGGGTTAGAGCGCACACCACACACATCATGCAAAGGGATGGAGAAAGTTAGCAGTCACACACAGAGCATGCACCAACCTATCAGCCTTTTCACACACAGATGTGAAAAGTGTCATCCAAAAAAAACGTGAGCCTTTGTTCTAACACACAGAGTAATCACATAACCCGTCACTGAACCTCAGAAAACTCGGTTACATCAGTAGCACATTTGGTCAGAAACCATTAGTCACGATATGAATCAAATTGCTTCAACTGCTGATCGATTCCTCTTATCTCTAGATGGATGCCTCATTCCACAACATGGCTGCTGTACGGAAGAGAATCCAATGTAACTCTACTGACGCTGCTTTTGTGTGAGTCCATTTTGTAATGTGCAGCCATTACTGGTCATTACTGGCATTAAAGGGAAACACTTTTGTGATTATGTTTTGAATAAGAATATTTACTACGTAAAACATGTATTTCATAATGATAACGATCTATGTGTATCTTGGCCCAGGATGTCATTTTCAGTTTGTCTTTGCGGGAAGCTTTAAGTGCTGATCTCTCACTCCTTCAGACAACACAATGTGATGCTCATTGCTGCGATACTCCATTAGCCCACACCTTACTGTGGTTTAGCACTGATGGCTCCATTACACATTGGAGCCATTGGGGCTTTAAGTGTTTTTTGCAAGGCTTCTGTCAACAGTTAAAGCTACAACATCATACCCGTACAGGGCAACTCAAAACTAGTGGAGTATTAGCCCAATTCATCGTCATATACAACTCAGTAACGGCCATATACAAATGGTTTCTAATCGCAATATAAATGCGGCTTAAAGTTCCGTTCACATAGCCCAGGGGTCACCAACTACATTTGTCCAAGGGCCAAAATTAATCCAAGAAACACTTTCGGGGGCCAGAGATTTTTATATATATAAATATATATATATATATATATA